GGAGGATGTGCATCATTTCAGGAGAGAAGAGATCATATCATTGCTTCTTTCTGTGTCCACAGATACTGTCACGATTTGAACTAATGCTGCATTAATGGTAACAGTTGCCTGTGTGCACCATTCAGGCCCATGGGCTCATTTCTTTCTTCATTGTTTCTCTTTGTACATTCCCTTTCAACATGACCGAGTGCAGATAGTGATATGCCACATCAACAGCCCAAAGGTCACTCAAAAATGATTGACTGCCAAAAAACAGAAAAGTGAAAGAGAGAAGGCAGTTTCCTTCGTTTTTGCTATTTTGTCATTTTGTTAATCCAGTCTAGTCTTTGTTCAGGAATAGCATGAAGCTTCTTAGGAGAAAGGGACACCGGACCCAGTTTCCAGTAAGAGCCAAATCTGGGTAATGGCCCCAGTCTTCCGGGTTGAGATGTGGAGAGATTCCCCGCCTCCTTTTGCTCCATATATAATAAAGCATGCTATTTCAACAAAAAAAAAAAAAAAAAAAAAAACCCTGAAAGCACACTCCTTCAGAATTACACTTGTAGTATAGCCTCATCTCCTCCCCCTTGCGTTAGCTGAGCGTAACATCATCAGGCGTCCAGGAGTGACCATTTATGAAAGGACTTTAGAGGAGGCAAGGGAAGAGCTAGCAGAATGGGAACGATGGAAACTGCCAGGTCTTCAAATGAGAGCCAGAGTAAAGGAGTGGGAAGAAGGGGAGCGAATGACCAATTTTTTTTTCCAGAAAATCAAGACTAGAGGAAGAAATACCCTGATAGATCAATTGGAGGGACCGAACGGTCTAACATTTACCACAGAAGGGATGATTCAGGTAGCCCAAGAATTCTACAGCAAACTATATGCAACAAGGGAGGCTGAACACACAAGGCAGCAGGTGGAGGAGGCATGATCCAAGTTTCTGCTCCACCTTCAGCCTACAATTTCCCTACAGCAAGCAGCAAAGCTTGACGCCCTGATAACCCAAGAAGAATTATGGAAGGCCCTGAAGTCGATGTCCCCAAATAAGACACCAGGGAAGGATGGATTGACTAAGGAATTCTGGGTAGAGTACTGGCCAATCCCGGGAGAGGAGTATCTAGCATACCTCGAGCAAGCATGGCAAGCAGAAGGTCTGGGACAGGACCCAGCAACGGGAATAGTCACTTTACTATACAAGAAAGGAGGTCCAGCGAACATCCGCAACTACAGACCAACAACTTTACTCACGCTAACGCACGAGATAGTAGCCAAACTACTAGCAAACCATCTCACAACAAGTATTCAAGTCTATATACAATACAAATTCAATACATACTCCAATTGGCATCTATCTATAGATAGTAAGCCATCGTAGAGCGATCGATATATATCTCATCCATACGATATATGTGGGACGAAATGTATTTGATCCATATATTAAGACCATATAATCGCTACAAATGATAAAGGTATGCATTCCATTCTCCATTCGGCGGACGTGCTTTATTTATGCATCTTTCTACGCTTCGTCAGCGGGATGCTTTCATTTGGATCAGACAGGTTTTATACCTGGACAGTTCATATTAGACAATGTCATGGTACTAACAGAGTCAATACGATATATAAAGGACAAGAGAATTAATGCACCAATATTGTTCTTCGACTTTGAAAAGGCTTACGACCAAGTCAGTTGGCCTTTCTTGCAGCAACGTATGGAGAAGATGGGAGTAGGCCCAAACTTTCGAAAATGGATCAGAGTTCTCTACAACAACGCATATGGGCAAGTTCAGATTAATGGTCATCTTTCAACGAGATACAGGATGTCGCGTTCAGTCAGGCAAGGGGACCCCTTAGCTGCACCAATCTTCCTATTTATAATGGAGGCGGTGGCATCCTTCTCAGAAAGGATCCATCAATCCAACGATTGGTAACGGTGTGACGCCCTAACCTCACACCCAGCGCGACTTCCTGATTGGAGTGGGATGGGGGCCCGGAAGTGCGAAAAGGGGTGTGCCAAGGATTTTAGGAAAGTGGGGGTGGAGTCCCAGGTCGGAACTGAGATCTCCTGTGGCAAGTTTCGGGGGTATAAGCGCAAAGAGGGTGTGCACAGAAAGGAAGTTGCTGATGTCGTGCAACATAAGGCAGATAGCATGCGCAGTGCATCTCAGGCTAAAGATCCAGGGCACTTTTCCACGATCACAATACCGATAGATCTAAGCACTCGTGCATTCTTGAGCGAAATCCCAATAACATTGCCCCTGCCAACGAACTCAATTTTCAAGCCTAAAGAAGTGGGAATCATCATCTCCTCTGGTTTTGCCTTCGTGGCTGGTCGCGCGGTTCGACCAGTTGTCAGCGCCGCTCGACTTCGGTGCGGGTTCGCCGAGCGAATTCCGAGGCTCGATAGGCCTGGTGCCGCCGACACTTTTTGCACGGTACGCGGGGCTAGTAGCAGGCTATGGAATTCCACAGCACCACCGTGAGTTGGTGATATGGAAGGAGGAGGTGGAAGAGAGGGAAACTGGTAGTAATAACGACGAAACCGGGGGATATGAAATACTACGTGTTATAAGTATCCGGGTAATCGGGGCCCCCAGGATCGTTAGTTATGGCACAGTGAAAGTCCCTCGCACACAATCAATCGCTTTCTGTCAGACAGGGGGATTCCGGATTTCTTAAGTTCCCCCGCCGTCCGAGTTGTTCACCTTCCCAGTATTCGCGGTATTCCGGGTCCCTCAGACTCTCACGATCGGACATCCAGGAGGGAAATTTCGCAGCCATATCGGTTGAGAAAGCTCGGTCCCCTGCATCCTTATATGGAGTTCCAAGGCTGACTCACGCAGATGAATGCGTACGCGGTGACTCGGTCTCCTCGAGATCGCTGTCGTACGCGAGCGTGCACATGAGAAACAACGGGTTGGTTCATCGTGTCGATCGCATTCAACATGCATGCAAATATCCTAACCCTGCGGCGTCGGGTGAGATCCGATCATTACATATCATACATGTGACAAAAAAGGAGGAAAGAAGAGAAAGGATCAGAGACTTCTTATAACACTCTTGTCGATCGAACGTTTAACGACTAAACCAAAACATCCATAATCGAGCGCTTTCAATCATATCTGAGCGTATAGCTCACGCAAGTGAGCAGTAGACAGAGGTGAAATGGGCATCGCAAAACAAGATTGGAAATCCGAAAAGATCGATAATTAAAAGGGAATTCACATTCAGTCCATGCATACATACAAAATGCGAACGACAAGGAAAATCCGAGACGATTTACAAAACAAGTCCAAAAAGAAGGTCGTCATAAAATCGACCATATCCGGATCCAAAATTATACAGATGAATAGAGGAAAAGAAAGGGACAACGAAAAGAACCTTATCCCACACCCACACAACTGCTCTCTCTCTCTCTCTCTACTTCTCTCTCTCCCGATGCAGGGAGTCCGTCGCCTCGCATCAACACAGAGTTGTCACCCCGCTTGGTTCGAGCATGCAAGCCAGGTTCGCCCGTGCGCCATAGTCCGTCGTGGCCCCGCACGTCAACCCTGCATATCCGACACCAGCTCGTCAGATCGCCCAACTCTCACACTCACTCACCTTCCAAACTTGCTCGTTAGCCGACCCTCACTGATCGCGCTAACCTCGAAATTCTTAGAGAGCAAACTAATCGCGCTTGCAGAATTTATAGCGTGCATGTCTGCGTGATAGGTACGGGATTAAGCACAGGTGGACAAGAGGAGAAGAGAGGAAGTGCCTACGTCTGCATGGCCAGGCCACGGCGTGGGGGTCGTAGCCACAGTCCACGCATCGATCCGGTCATGCAGGCGCTCCGACCAATTAGAACAGAGTATGTGAGGCGAGGAAGAAGGAGAAGGCGGGCAAACACGAGGAAACCAAGAAAGAAGAAATGTACAGTTACAATCGCACCCGCGAAAAATGACAGTTGCACAAGATTAATGGCGCGATCCAGTGAGAGCCCAGTTCGCAGCGCAGCAAGATGCTCGCAAGCGCGGCACAACAAAATTCATAGTACCTAAATTCCTAGCCTAAGTCCTAATTGCAAAAAGAAATTTCGATAAAAGTAGAAAAAAAAAACAATTCCGCGAGCTCGTGGGGGCTCGATATCAGTTGAAAATTCAAAAACGATATTCCCGCGCAATGATCGCGCCAAAATTCCCAGTGCTCACAGCAGAACAAGAAAGAAGCTATGGTACAGTTATTTCCAGCGCTCGTCATGGCGCGGTCACCCAACCGTTGGCACGGGATTTTCTCGACACCGATCCGACAACTTCCAGCAGAAAACGAAAAGAAACGAGGACGTCCATGCAATTTGCCGCCCGACCCATCTTCCCGCAACTCACCCATCCGACCCGTCTCATTTCCCCAGGCAGCCTTGCGCAGAAAGTCGCGCGATTACAGAAAATGGTTCATCGCATATGTGACGCCCAAGGGGTTCCAATCTTGAGCAAGCTCCCGCTTGCTCACACACTCCATGCGTAGATCAACGCGGAGCTCACACGTGCCACTTACCGTAAGATCTGAGTGTGGAAGTCATACGACGTGGCATACATGGGCTCAATCCAAAATGTTGCAGGGGAAAGGTTATCTAATTACGGGTGGGGAAGATGGTGGATAGACTTGGGGGAGAGGGGGCATGAAGCGGTAAATTTCCTCGTCGCTGGAGGGGAGTGGGACGTAATGAATGGAGCGATGGATGCGAGGAAAGTGAGGGTGCCGACGTTGATGCGGGAGGGAGGCGAGGTAGTCAGGGTAGAGGGTGCAGAGGGTGCGGCAGATGCAGCGCGGAAGTCGTCATATTCTTCGCACACGGGGATCGTGCCTGCGATGACGCAGTAGAACTCTATATGATTATACTCCCGCACGCTAAAGAGGAGGATGTGGAGGGGGAAGGAAGTAACAAGTGAGCGAATAGTAGCATGCGGGAAAAGGGTAACCTTGAAGGCGGGTGGTGTAGCGGTGATAGAAGAGGGAGAGGGGAAATGGCTGTCATGTATCAGGGAACGGGGGCCGGCTTGGGAGCTGCTGGATGGTGAGGAAGTCACGGGGACGACGGGATAACAATCGGGGACGAAGCCCGTGCGCCCGCATCTCGACATAAACGAAGGGCTGTGGGTCGAACTGGGGAGGATTGGGAGGGCGATTGACTCCTTCGGCGGCACCGACTTCTTGATCCCTCCGTGGTGGCGCTTCCATCTCGTTCCTCCTCCTCCTGCGACGGTTCTGGATTGCGCGTCGGATCGTCCTGCAGCAGTTGCGGTGGCCCTCTTGATTCTTCGATCCGCTGCTTTTCTTCCGCTGCTGCCCGTCTCCTCTGCGCCACAATCTCTCTTTCTTCTTGGCTCAGCTTGTCGGGACCACTCGACTCCCCCGCTCCACCTTCTTCTTCGTCTGATTCCACTCGCCCTGAAATGGCCTCTTCCGACTCGGCGTCCTCCGATCCTTGATAATCGGGATCGTCTTCCCGATCTTCTTCCTCGGCCGATACTTCTTCTTTGTCGTCCTCCTCCTCTTTTTCACTCGTCTCTCCTGCGGGAGTGCGCCGAATGAGCGGGTCCCACGTGGAAAGATCGGTGACGTTGACGTGTAGGTACGCACCTGCCGAGGGTACGTAATAGCTTCCCTCCTCCAGTTCCGTACAGGTGGACCAAAGAAGATGTGGTTCCAGGGTACGAGTGAGCGTGGTTGTCCCTGGTCTCTCGTCACAGTGCGAGAGGATCTCCAACGGCAGGTCGTCGAGTACTTGGGTTAGAAGCACCAGCAGCTCGTCCGTAATGGAACTCAGATGGCCGCTGCGCACTTCTCCAAACACGATCCCCAAAAAATCTCCCTCCATGTTTGTTCTCCACCCTTGGATGAGCAGCAATTCCAGCTCGTCGTCCGGGATCTCGTCCTCCACTCTCCTGTCCGCGGGTTCCGCCCAATGGAAGGTGACCCCGAGGAGGCAGCAACTGAGCGCCATGTAGGTTTGCCATCAGTGCGTCCACTTGACCGCGTCGAGAATCGGCACATCCAATGGCTTGATCGTGAAGGAGAGGGATGCTTCCACGGCGGATTGCTAAAACGTGGGGACGTCAGAGGGGAGACTAAAGGTAGAGAGGCGATGGAGGTTCATTGAGGCCGAGCGAAGGGACGAAGCATAGGAAGGGTGACCTCTGGCGCGGTGGAGGAGACCCTAAGCTGGAGATCGATGTCGTTCGTGGTTACGACACGATCGCGCGGTTGGGCCAATAGTCGTACCCACTCAGTCATGATGCGTGCTGCCCAGTCCCGCAGTTGTCGGAGGATGGCGGTGTGTCGTGATGGGTGCAGTGTTGTGATGTCGCCTGTTAAGACGACAACGACCGACACGTGGCTCTCGCCAGGTGGGGACAAGCGCAAGAAGGCTGACACCTCGGCCAGCACTCGGGCCACCCCAGACTGGCCGAACTGGAACTCTATCGCCGCGTGGATGGCCGCCGTACTGACTGAGGATGCCGTACTTGCCGGATCGCTGAGAAGGCTAACCCAGGTACCATTAGTCGCTCGCTGATCACCTGCTCCGTCGAGTCTTGTTAACGAAATTTTGAAAGGTCACGTTCATCGCCCTTTGGAATGTGGCCGGTGCATTGCAGATTCCCATCGGACAACGAATCCACTGCCACGTGCCCTCGAATAATACGAAGGCCGTCTTTGGCCGATCCTCCTCTCTAACCAAGATGTGATGAAATCCGTGGCGAATATCAAACTTACTAAAATAATTCGCACAACCAATCGCATCCAACAAATCATCAATCCGGGGAAGGGGGTACACATCCTTAATCGTGATATCGTTCAATTTCCGGTAATCAATGCAAATACAAATCGACCGGCTCTTCTTCGGGACTAAGACCACGGGAAATGACCAAGGTCCGATTGCTGGTTCAATCCATCCTTTAACCTCGAACTCCCGGATCCTTTGTAGCGGAGTTTTTCTTTCCGCGAGAGAATATCGGTATGGCTTACAGTGGATCGGGGGATGCGTTCCGGTCTGAATCTCGTGTTGAATGACTAAAGATAATCCAATATCCGTATCCGTTACGCTAATTGCCTCTTGATATTCAGTCAGGATATCCGCAAGCAGTCGGTGGGTTTCGTTAGGTACATACTGAGGCACATGCAGTTCATATGGTTTTCCATGTATGATAACCGCATGTGTTTTGTGTTCACTCTGTGGTAATTCTCAGTGGGGGGAGAAAAAATGAAGGAGTTATCCGACCGCCAGGAGAAGACGGTGGCAACCATCTGAGCGTCTTCCTCCCGGATAGCCACTTGTTCTTCCGGGGTCACACCGTCACTAATGTCTTGCCAAGAAACCGGCTTTTTGGCGATTTTGACCCCAAGCTCGTAAAGCGTCGAGTCATCGCGCCCAGGGGGTTCCAAAGTTTCACTTTCGGCCCCTAAGCGTAATAATGGCACCTCCTTACCGGGTGACAGTAAGGAACGAGGCAACCCTGAGATGTCGCAAAACGCCTTCTTCTCTCGGTATCTCGAGAGAAGCGAGGTCGTGGCTTCGTACAGGGTTCGAGGGGGTTCCAAAGAGTCAATCATCCGGGATACTTGTACGAGGGGTTCCCCAAAGATCAAAGCCCGGGTCCTTTGCAGGTTTCTTTCCGTAAGGACGTTTTAGAAGTCTTCTGTTGGATTGGATAGCGAATCAGTTGTCGGATTGTATCGGGATCGGCTTCATTTTCGCTATCGGACTCGCTGGGTTCCTCATCCTCATACTCGAGTTTCCGAGTTGGTTGCCCCCAGGTGATTACTCGGACAGCGACTCCGGGAGTCGGAGGAATTTTCTGAGTCGGGGGCATCATGGTCCACAGAGTTAGGCGCATTAGAATAACATATGGTTTCGCGCCTATACTTCGCAGGATTACCGATAGCCTTTCGAAGTCCAGATTGGCCCGCAGTGCGACGAGCACCGGTAATCCCAGAAGTACATCGTAGGTATTAACATCCAATACTACCACATCTTCTAAAGCATGAATATTTCCCAACCGAAAGGCGACATTCGTCATTCGACCTACTGCTTTTATCTTTTCTTCATCCGCCGAGACGAGATGGTCTTTCTTGGTTAACGTGAAGACATGTACAGGAGCAGCCATCGCAGGCATCGGCAAGCCCGTGGCTGCATCTGCCCCGGGCTTCTTGGTTATGATATGTTCCAAATAGGTAACGGGACCAGAGACAAAACCCATGTTTTCAAATTTATTTCGAAGCGCGGCCATCTTGGCCCGTGCTCTAGCTAGCTCTGAGGAGTCTCCCTCTCTAGGATAATCTTCCCCCTCTAGGAAGTTGGCAGCGAATTTCCGCTCCATTTCTTTTGCCGCAGATATAATCTGCTACAGAGTATGGTTCATCGGGGAGAACTGTTTTCGCAATTTCGCCTTCATGGTCCTGCTGCGAAGCCCATCGATGAATAGATCCCTCCCGACTTGTTCCCCTTGCCCAGTTTTGACAAACATCCTATAAAATCGGTTTCGGTATTCTGTGACAGACTCGAGTGGCTTTTGTACTCGATCTTTAATCATGAACAAAGCTTGCTCCGGATGCATGTAGTCAAATCGGTTCAGGAAATCTCGCTCAAAAGTTGGGAGGTCTACCCAAACGTAAGTGCTAAACCAATGATGCGCGTCCCCTCCTAATTTGTCGGGGATGTTGATCCCAGCTTCGTCATTGTCGTACTGTTGTGCTCGTAAGGTAGCTAACCACGCTCCGGCTAAGTGATGTGCAGGATCAGAAAGATACAGATCCTGTGGAGCCATGGGTGCTCGAGGCCGCGGAGTTGGGTTCTGGTTTTGGGCTTGGTTCACAGCCGGTTGAGCATTCATAGGGGCTGCTCATCGTCCAGCCGATCTACTCCTTGTTACCACGGGATCACGTCGTGGCGCGTTCCGCTGTCTTGGTCGTCCTCTGTTCGCTAGATCGCTTTGCGCCCTTTGTATTAACCCGGAAGCCTGCCACGTGTCGGCTCCGATACCAACCTCACGCCCAACGCGACTTCCTGATCGGAGTGGGATGGGGGCCCAGAAGTGCAAAAAGGGGTGTGCCAAGGATTTTAGGAAAGTGGGGTTGGAGTCCCAAGTCGGAACTGAGATCTCCTGTGGCAAGTTTCGGGGGTATAAGCGCAAAGAGAATGTGCACAGAAAGGAAACTGCTGATGTCGTGCAGCATAAGGCAGATGGCATGCGCAGTGCATCTCAGGCTAAAGATCCGGGGCACTTTTCCACGATCACAGTACCGACAGATCTAAACACTCGTGCATTCTTGAGCAAAATCCCGATAACATTGCCCCTGCCAACGAACTCAATTTTCAAGCCTAAAGAAGTGGGAATCACCATCTCCTCTGGTTTCGCCTTCGTGGATGGTCGTGCGGTTCGACCAGTTGTCGGCACCGCTCGGCTTCTGTGCAGGTTCGCCAAGCGAATTCCGAGGCTCGATAGGCCTGGTGCCGCCGACACTTTTCGCACGATACGTGGGGCCAATAGCGGGCTATGGAATTCCACGGCACCACCGTGAGTTGGTGAATATGGAAGGAGGAGGTGGAAGGGAGGGAAACTGGTAGTAATAACGACGAAACCGAGGGATATGAAATAATGCGTGTTATAAGTATCCGAGTAATCAGGGGCCCTAGAATCGTTAGTTATGGCACAGTGCAAGTCCCTCACACACAATCAATCGCTTTCAGTCAGACAGGGGAATTCTGGATTTCTTAAGTTCCCCCGCCGTCCGAGTTGTTCACCTTCCCAGTATTCACGGTATTCCAGGTCCCTCAGACTCTCACGATCGGACATCCAAGAGGGAAATTCCACAGCCATATCCGTTTAGAAAGCGGTCCCCTGCATCCTTATATGGAGTTCCAAGGCTGACTCACGCAGACGAACGCGTACGCGGCGACTCGGTTTCCTCGAGATCACGGTCGTACGCGAGCGTGCACATGAGAACAGCGGGTTGGTTCAACGTGTCGATCGCATTCAACATGCATGCAGATATCCTAACCCTGCGGCGTTGGGTGAGATCCGATCATTACATATCATACATGTGACAAAAAAGGAGGAAAGAAGAGAAAGGATCAGAGACTTCTTATAACACTCTTGTCGATCGAACGTTTAACGACTAAACCAAAACATCCATAATCGAGCGCTTTCAATCATATCTGAGCGTATAGCTCACGCAAGTGAGCAGTAGACAGAGGTGAAATGGGCATCGCAAAACAAGATTGGAAATCCGAAAAGATCGATAATTAAAAGGAAATTCACATTCATTCCATGCATACATACAAAATACGAACGACAAGGAAAATCCGAGATGAAAAAAGAAGTCCAAAAAGAAGGCCGCGATAAAATCGACCATATCTGGATCCAAAATTATACAGATGAACAGAGGAAAAGAAAGGGACAACGAAAAAAATCTTATCCCACACCCACACAAATGCTCTCTCTCTCTCCCGATGCAGGCAGTCCGTCGCATTGTCACCCCGCTTGGTTCGAGCATGCAAGCCGGGTTCGCCCGTGCGCCACAGTCCGTCGTGCCCCCGCACGTCAACCCCGCATACCCGACACTAGCTCATTGGATCGCCAAGCTCTCACACTCACTCACCTTCCAAACTTGCTCGTTAGCCGACCCTCACTGATCACGCTAACCTCAAAATTCTTAGAGAGCAAACTAATCGCGCTTGCAGAATTTATAGCATGCATGCCTGCGCGATAGGTACGGGATTAAGCCCAGTTGGACAAGAGGAGATGAGAGAAAGTGCCTACGTCTGCATGGCCAGACCGCGACGTGGGGGTCGTAGCCACACTCCGCGCATCGATCCGGTCATGCAGGCGCTCCGACCAATTAGAACAGAGTATGCGAGGCGAGGAAGAAGGAGAAGGCGGGCAAACACGAGGAAACCAAGAAAGAAGAAAGGTACAGTTACAATCGCGCCCGCCAAAAACGACAGTTGCATAAGATTAAGGGCGCGAT